TTTTTGCATATTAAAAATTGTGGTTCGAAGTGTATTTTAATTAAATAAATATGAACTTAATCGTATATATGGTTTTGATTTACTGCATAATCTTCTAAGATTTGTATTCAGTTGCAAATTAAGTCCAGTAATGAACTGTCTTCGAATATTTGCCATTCAGTTAACAACTTCTACAATTCTTGCATAGACTAATATAATATCAAGTAACGGTTTTGCAACCGAGCAAATTTTATGTAGCCATAAAAGGGCATTGCAAGTCCATGGAGATCAACAAACACATAAACTTATACGAGAGATTCTTTAAAAGATACTTTTATATACTCTTACATACTGATGTCTTCATATATCAAATGTTTTAAATTATCTATACGAGTATTCGTAGTTTGACTACTTCAGCTTCTTATCTTCTGTTTCGGTACATACGGGTAAAGTCTGCAAGACAAGCTAAAGCGTGTCTTCCGAGTAAGCAAAAAATTCTAAAAAATATTTCTGCATTTGGAGTTGTTTGATTCTTTTAATTTTTTTTAGTAATTTTTGGTTTTATTTCAAAGTATAAGCGATTTTTACCAACACACATCTTGGCTTAAGAACTGAAGCTGCTTTAAACTACTTCTTTATCGGTTCATGTAAGCATTAGACTGCAATCGAGTTTAGCAACTCAGTTAACAGATATATTTGAAGAAATCAACAAACAAGAAAAAATATATATGTATGTAAAAAAGATACAAAAAATATGTATAAAGAAATATAAAAAGCCACACCATTTCATATTAAATGATATGTCGAAAAAGTACGGAGTACTGAAGTAGGAATTCCCTTTCAGGGTTATATGTCTACAAAAATCAACCAGGAAGTGGAGGTAAATATTGTGTTGGTATGAGTTCAAAAGGGCTTATTGTTTTTTTTTTGTTTTTTTTTTTTTTGATTTTTTCAAGATGCAGTAATTTTTCGTGAATACTCTCTCTCTCAAGAAAAAATTCGCACTTAAACAGGTCTCATCTTACAGTAACTTCCTTATGTGTGCACACACGACTGTTACATATTAGCAATACTGGTTAAAACGACAATTTGTATCTCAACGTTTGAAGCAATCCAATCTGAAATAAGCGTTTTTACACTTTTTGTGTGAAACAATGTAAAAAGAAGATAAACAATGCAGTGTTTCATTAAAAGGAAACTGTTAATCCGTTAATCTGTTAATCTGTGATGCATTTGCTTTTCATTAGTAATTCACTCCTCGTTTATTTTTTTTTTTTTTTGAAGATAATTGTTATGTAGCCTAAAATAAAGTCTTTCTTTTGGAAGTTACTTAACAATAACTTTAAAGCAAAAATGAAATGTTTGTCTTTTTATATACTAAGTCAGTATGTGCTCTTCTGTATCGCGAACCTCTTATAAATCAAAACTGTAAATACAAATTGGTAATTTATTTTATATCCCTACAGATTTCAGCTAAACTGGAAATTGAATTATACATCCCATATAAAAAGCATATTGCAATTGTTTAACCTAATCTGAAAACAAGTAATATATTTTATCTTTTGAATAAAACTGGAAGCTTGAAGATTCTTCCTTATCTCATGAATGCGTCAAGAAGTCTTTATTTCATATCCGCAAATTCCTGTTACTCAAGCAAGTAAATGTCTTAAAAATGTTTAGTTTTAAAGTAATTAATAATTGTATAATTTAAATAATATTAATCAATATTTTGTAAAGTACAGCGTATGTCATTAAAATTAATAATTAATTAATTTAATATACAAATCTTCTATTATATAGCATATATTTAAAAAATTATCTTTGAGTATCGACTATATGCATGCAAATCAAATGGTGTTTAGGCTTGTAAATAAACCTAAAGGAATATATGTGTCCATGGGGTTACCAGGAAACTCCTAAAAATCTCCCTGCTCAAGTAACAGCAAGCATAAGAGATGAATAAAACCTCTTCAACAGAAAGACGTCCTATGCTCCACAAAGAGAAGAGCACTACAGTAAGTAAGCAAGTAAATAGACAAATTGTGGAAAAATATAAAAAATATTTTCAAAGACCACTCATGCTGAATGCTAGTGCTTTAGAGCCCGTGAATGCACTTGAATTCTTCACTATCGCCTTAGCTCAAAGTCTCAAAACTGATTTAAATATGCATTATGCCAGAAAATTTGAAATATGATTGAGTTCAGTAAAGAGACTTAAGTTATTACTGTGAAATCCGAACTAAAAGTAATTGGAAGGTCATGATATATCAAAAACGAAAGCATTAAAAAAAGCTCTAGAACTTTCAATGATTATATAAGAATTCGAAGAAATAAAAACAAAGTAGCGTTGAAGAAATGTTAACCACTTGACATGCTATTACGATGAGATATTCTTATCTAAAAGGAGCAGGCCGATCAGCCACAATACAGGCAGTTGGGTCTGCATTGTTATATAGTGTATATCTTAATATTACCCCATTAGAGCGAAACTGTTTATATAACAATGACAATGATATAAGAATTACTTACTATATTAAACGTGTAGTTAATTATAGAATATATTATATACAATAATTTATAATGTTTATGTAAGCAATTAACAACTTAATAATTTATCGTTAATCTTGATATAAAAGATAATTCATTCAATAAATAAAAAGCACTAAAGAAAATATCTATTGCCACACAAATAGATATTATGATTAATTAATTACTTAATCATTTTTTTTATACCGCCCCATTGCGTAAATTTGTTGAATTAGTACTTAACGCTAATATAATTAATTATCAAAATGAATAATTTATATGATTTATTTTGAATAATTATTTTATTAACTATTGCTCCCTTTATTAATTTCTGCTATTCATATTATCATATATATGAAAATACCACTACTAATTTTCTTCATATTACCTAATTAAAGTTGTAAATATGTTTTACCTCTTTATTTTTTTTAAGTAACTAAATCCTAATGTTTATTATTATATATATTTAAATATTTTATATATAAAATTTCCATTGTTTTGTTTTCTTTAGATAATACTAAATTAATTAAATTCTTTTAACATCTTAAAATAGTTCATGCTCAATTAAAGTTACTCTAAAATACCAAACTAAATTCCATTAGACTTTACATCGTCATCGGCACATAAGCAGCCCCTCAAGATCCCGTGCCTCTTCAGCATTAATTAACTACTTTTAAGCATGTAATACGTACATTATTTATGAATCCTAACTGTACGATAAAATAAAATTTTTTTTTAGTTTTTAAAATTATCTAAAAGTCCAAAGAGATGTCTGGCTTGGAGCCTGATCATTACACTTTACACTATTAGAACTCAGATCAACAGACCTAACATCATTATATTTCACATCTCTAAACTTTATGTCGTTAAGCCTCACACCATCAGTTCCTGCATTTTCTGACTTCAACACCATCAAATCGGTCAGACCATACTTTATTCCGCTTTTTCCAACCTCGACTCTAACAAATTATTAATATCATACTTTATCAGCACTCAAACAATTAGAACTCACACTATCAGACCTCACATAAACAGACCTCACATTAACAGACCTCACAACAACAAACCTCACGTCAACAGGCCTCACAACAACAGACTTCACATCAACAGACCTCACATCAACAGACCTCACATAAACAGACATCACATCAACAGGCCTCACAGCAGCAGACGTCAAATCACTAGACCTCACAACAAGAGACCTCTCAATAAAAGACCTCACACAAACAGACCTCACATCAACAGACCTCACGCCAACAGATCTCACGCCAACAGACCTCACATCAACAGATATTACATGAACAGACCTCACAGCAACAGACGTCAAATCAATAGACCTCACATCAAGTAAACTCACAACAACAGACCTCACACAAACAGTACTCACATCAACAGACTTCAAACTATAAGATCTCATTCAACTTAGTGCATCAAACCTCATACCAACCTAGTAGATACTTTTCTCTACAATATGTATATGAATGTTTATCTACTTATTAGCTGTGTCTATATCACAGATTTTTAAAAACTTAACTATATATTTGTATGATGGCGTTATCATGAGCCCTTAATTGGATAGATCAAGTTGAAACCAATTTACCAATAAACAATTTCTCTGCAATTCTAAATTTTTTTCCATTGCTTTACTAAATTTCATTTAATTTATTTACTTCGCAATTTGTTGATTTAATAAAAGGAGCCGCGCATATGATTGTACAGTGTAGGAGGGAATTGGCAATATCGTGACGTAAATTGACTTTGGTCACCTTGGATTTGTTGTTTTGAAAACGTTTTAGATTTCTAAACTTTTTTATGACATTGGTTAAAAGCAAAAGTTTATTTTCTCCCACAAAAGTATCTTTTATCCACATTTTATTTTTAACTTTGAAGTGATTTCAGCGCCGGAGTCGCAATTTTATGGCACAAATAATTACTGTTCGTATATTATTAGCTTTTTTGTTCGTTTCCTATTTATACGGAGAAAAGCAATTTACCTGTCTAATTGCTTTTTTTTGTTAAAATTTATAAGGTGTTTTGAAATTATTTATCTATTGTGATATTTAGTTTTTTTTCGTGACATTGAAACTTATCATTATTTTGCGCTTTAGTTTTTGAAATTGATAGCTGTCAGTAAACACTTAGCGTAATAAGGTTAAAAGCTAACTAATGACTAAAACTAGGCACAGTCAAAAGTTTCAAAACGTACTACAAACTATATTTTATTTATTACATTTAAAGGATATTTATGATTCAGAAAAGGATGTGACACTTTTCTATATAAAAATTATAATTGCTTACATTATTTGACTTATGCATTGGACTGGTCTACAGTTATAACAACAAAGGCTTTTATAGATGTATCTTTATTTAAACTCAAATAAAAATATGAATTTATTTCTATTTAACAACAGTATACAAAGTATGATACAAAAGTTAACATCACTATTTCTAAACGTGTTCTTAATTGAACTTCTATTCAAATAATTTCTGCTTACCTGAGAAATTTCTGCTGTGAATTGCAATGAGAGAATCTGAAATAAAATTAAATGATAATTAATATTAATTTGTTAATTATGGTTATATATTGAAAAAGAAATATTACTAAGAACCACTTTATATTAACTATTAAGACCTTAATGTACAGGGTGGACCATTCACAATCTAATAGACCATTGTCACCAATCAAAACTTGATCCAGTAGTTGTTAGTGACATCAGTTAGTCAACAGTGGCGAATATAACTTACAACTGATACTATTTTTCAATATAATTTCTTAGTAACACTTTTTTTGTTAGTTATATAGGTAACATTCCTATTATTTTCATGTGAATAACCGCAAGTGTATTAGGGTCCATCCTTTATACTCTCGTAACAGTAGACACACCTGTTCTAGCTGATGTGAAATTATGGTCTTGAAACTGTATCCAAAATGAATTGTGTTACTTATCGACATAGCTAAATAAATTTAAAATAAAAGTAAGTTCAAACAAGTCTATACATGCGACTTTTGCGATCCAAAGGGGAAATTTTCCTCCAGTGTTTTAAAATAATCAACCAATTCCATACAGCGACTCAGTCAAATATCGCGATGTTCCCCTTGATCGTTGATTGACGTGGAAAGTTCACATCAAAGCTAAACGCAGGCAGCTCCGTATCAAAGCTAAAAATAATGTACTGGTTACTTGGACATTTCGTCAATTTAGCTCAGAAAAATAAGTATCAATTTGTCATTGACAAAAAATTGTTACCCATAACTTTTATCGGAGCTTCGTTATTCGAACCGAACCAAACTATAACAACGACGTCAAAAAAATGAATATTTATTCAGTGTGCTTTTTTAAAGCATCAAAAAATATGTATCTTTTATATAAGGCTAACTATTAGCAGATGTTAGTGTGTTAAATTAATATAATATACAAATCAGCTAGAACTGGTTTACTCGTTCCACGCTGTTCAAAATCTTTATAAAAGATAATATTTTAAAATAGCTATTACTCTTCTTAAATTGAATATGTAAGATATAACAATATTGGGGAATAGTTTGATAACAAACTATTTCCCATATAGTGCGTTGAAGAAATGAATATATAGATATAACATAGTTATAATTATTATATATGAGAAATTAAAAAGCAATTTTAGAAACCTTAAATTTCAAGTATTAACTTAGGAGACTGGCTGAGATAGAGATTGAGTACACGAAAGTTATCTTTTCAGTATACCTACGTAATTTGAAACCGATTAAAATCTTAAGAAAAATTTAATAATATGTTTCATTCTTGTTTAAGTCTATATGAAATATTATATTATTTGAAAGTAAATGTATTTCAGTCTAACCAATAAATATTTTAGTGTTATAAAAAAAATTGCATACTGTCTAAAAAACCAGTATTTCTCAACCTTATATATACAAAGCAAAGCCCGATAAAATACAAAATGTGTATTGCCTCCGTCAATCGACGATATTGAAACCGTCTAGTGCACTGTACAGAAGTCGTTATGGTGGAGAGGAAGTGAAATCTATAAAACTTTTTCTATGTCTTTGGCCAGTACTGCACAAAGGTATTGTTTACAATATGCAAAATACCATATCTTTACTTATAAGTAGAAGAATTACCTAAATTTAATAAGAATAACGTATTGCATTGGTTTTTGAAAATTTTAGTATATGTCTCTAAGTGGATGTGTTGGCGTTTATATTAACAGGCGCTCTTACAATATAAATGAACCTTCCCGAATGTTAAGATATTAGCAAAAATAAATAACTCCGTTAGTGAAGCTAGTGCTAGTGAAGCTTGCCTCCTCCTGGCAACTTAAGGTTATCACTATATATAATGTGATATATTTTTTTGAGTTGAAATGTTAAAGTTTGTGTCAGTTAGTTCGCTTTTCAACTAAATCAACTATTCCCGATAGTTATTTTTTTTTTTTTATATACTTATACATTTATTTATTATATCTTGTCTTACAATGAGACTAACAATAAGTTTTAAAATCTAAACACTAATTATATGATATTACAATTTTTATTTTAACTATACATTGTATAATATAAAAGAAATTAAGTAAACCTTATATCATGGACCTTACTAAAATCAGCGGATTAAATTTAGCAATTACACTTTATCAGATTATTAAAACGAAGAGTGGGAATAGTGGATAAAAGTACGAGATTTCTAGCTAAGGGATTAACATATATGGTATTTTTATTGTATTTTTTTTATATTGTAATTTTTTTTTATTGTCAAATTCAGCTATAACTAAGGGTATTAGTAGATCTCGTTGAATACTTTAATTCCTAATATACCATGGTACATCACTGATTGTTCTCAGTATTTTTAACTGAGCTCTTTGGATAATTTCAATATTTGTAGCACTAGTATTACCAAATAGCTGGATACCATAAGTCCATATTAAATTTATGGTGCTATTATACAAAATTACTTAAGGCACAGATAGCATCTGTTATTAATGAGCCAGTGCAACTTCATATGTTTTTTCTTTAAATACTTTGCCGTATAATAAAAATTTTGTTGAAAATAAATAAATTAAATAATTATTAATAATAAATTTTATCAAAGTTTCATTTAAAAAATTATCGCAAACAGCAGTGCAGGATTTTGAAGTTTCACTGTTATCACTATACAAGAAGTATGACAAAATAGAAGTATGGGATTTGCCTATTAGTCGATTTAAGTCAAGTCAAGAGATTAAATTTAATATTTTTAATTAATCACAAAACCCATTACGAATATGTGTCCTGTAACATAGTAGCTATAATTTTTTTTTTATTTATATCTTAATCATTATAATGAATACAAACTGTTTACATTTCTTTTAAAAGAGAGATAACAATATCATTTCCTATTGTTGGATTTTCAGCCAAATTACATATTAACTTTTAGTAGAATAGTGAACAGTATAACAATATCATGTCCAATCCAACCGACTATGATGTCTCTTATAGAAAACTATATTAAAATGACGCTGAGTAATCGCAAAAATATGTAGGTATGTTCTCTTCTTAGTCATTTTTAAATCAAACAAAATAATAAAATTATTCGAGATAACAATGTGAATAATAACGAAGTACTCGCACTTGAAACTGACATTATTAAAAGTAATGCAATTGAAATGGAAATGGAAATGGAAATGTAAGAAACTACGAAAAGATAAAAAACTGAGGAAAATAAATTGAAGAAGGTCTCAGTGGCAAAGGCGTGCGCCTGAGTTATTGAACTTTTGGGATCGCTTTAACGCATTTTGAAGAATTGCAGTAAAATTCTCTTAAAGTCACTTGTAGATAAAATATACGCACCCGACTCTCTTGTTTATACAGTCCGTTTAACCGCACAACTTCTTCGCTTTCGACTATTTATGAGCGCATTTTGTCAATTTTAATTTATGTCAACTTAGTGACAATCTTCACTGCACTTGTGCAAATCCAGAATTAAGTGCATACGGGTACAGAGTACATGTAAGCAGTCATAACGTTAACAAATAAATTATGAGCAAGTTAACGCATAAACAGATGTGCACACAAATGACTTTAGTTGAGATTACAAAAATATAGATACAAATAAATATGAAAGCGCATATCTACAGACGATTGTAGTCTGACTTTTGTACTGAAATATCTTTTCAATGCAAGTGAAAGTATACAACCCACCAGGCACTCGCTTTTAACACCAAACGTAGCGCTTAACAAGTCTGTACCTATATAATATACATATACATATGTACACATAATTGTGTATAATTATTGTCTATATGTAGGTACATCTATGTAGATTGACATTATAAGAGTAAGCAAGGATTAGAACATACTACGTATATATTGTGGAAAAAGTTAGTGGAGAAAAGTTGTTAAGAAGCTTGTTGGTCTTATAAAGTTTATGCAAGTGAATTGTAATTTATTGTGGGAAGGAGACTGTAAAATGTGCGGAAATCGTAGGTCTTGAAACTTTATTTAAATAATTCAAAACTTTTTAATTTCATTTACAAACACGCTTTTGTAACAGATACTTTGTTAATTATTTGCTTAAAAAAAAACGCGAACATGACTAATATTTTAATTAAAATTTCTAATTAAATTTCTAATAAACCATTACGAAAACGAATTGGAAATTCTTTATAAAAATTTTTTTTAAATAGTAGAAGATAGCAATCTTTTTAAAAAAAAAATAATATCTTTTGTATAAACTTAAATTGATTTCAGTTTTTGTAATGTTAAAAAACTAAAAAATTACACATTACATGAGTATATAAAACAATGAGATCATCGTGTCTAAATAATCTGAGATACTCTCAAATATGTCAAATTTTGATATTAACTATTATTTAAATATGGTTTGTAGAATACATAAAAGAAATTTTTGGTGAAAGAAATGCTGTTTAAGAAACTCCATTCAATCTACATTAAAACATAGAATATATTTTTTATGGAAACCATACCGATTCCAGCATTCCGATCAAAGATTAAGCTCTCCCACAGGAGGTAAGTTATGGTATTAAAAAAGCCAACCAAATCTAATAAAACTATTTTAATATTCTATAACAAAACAAGACCAATGGCAAAATAGTTCTCCCTATTTAAACAGTCTATATAATATTTACAAATAAGCACTCGTTCTAAGCTATATGCGAAAACCGACAGGCTGCCCTACTTAGCACTATCAAATCTCAGAGTAATCACTAATCATACGGAGCGGTATGCAGATCTTAGATCAGTCATTGTATATAAGGAATACACAAAAAAGACAGTGAGATGTGTGGGACTCTGCAGAAACCCCCCAGCTAACAAAAAGTAAGAGTGCCCAAATGCACTAACTCGGACAAGGCTCAACATTATACTAAGTTTCAAATATTTAACTTGAACGTCAAATCAACGTTGCATCCAAGTATTTATAAACAAATGCTAAGGAAGAATATGGAAAATATGGTGGCCGGAGCGCGTATCCGATATTGATTTTTGGGAGCGCTTGAAAAAAATTCAAACTGAAATTAAAAGAAGATAATGGAAATGGATTGG